CAAATAATTTTTTCATATGTCGTTTGTTGTGCAAATCAAAATATTAATGCCAAATATTCAACAGGTACACGGAGAATCGTTCTTTTGTGGTAAACAGCATAAAGGCAGGCACTTATAAAGATCCAACAATTTTGTTCTCACCTCCTGCCGACCAAGACATTTTAGACATTGAAACAGCACTAGCTATTTTGAAGGATGTAAGATAACTTGGAAAATAAATGTTCCATTTTTTGTTCTTCAGATATCCGATATGCTTATACAAATTATAATGTTCGTCTATAGGAAAAAACTGCTTGGGTAAAAGGAACTCTAAAACTAGCAGCCAATCATCGCTCGATGTGGTTTAGTGCATGTGGAAACTGTCAAAAGTCTATTAACGCTCCTCTAGATTGGAACATAAAATGCCCAACTTGCAACCAAGAAACCACTGTGACAGCAAGGTACAATTTTTACATTAATGTGATACAAGTCTATAATAATAAATTTTCTGATATTGAAAACAACTGTCTTTCATGATACTTGTAGATGTCGTCTCAAGATAATCATTTGTAACGAAACAGCAAAAATGAATGCATATCTCTATGGAAAAGATGCTGAAAATCTGATACCTTTCACACCTTTGCAATTAAAAGAAGCAGAGCTCCAGGTATAACTATTACCTCTTATTTCTTATAATAAGCTGTTTGATCATTCTACACGTGTCCATGGATATGAGTTGGCGACGATTATTGCGATTTGGATAATTGTTTGTCTTACCTAACCTTTTACTTTTATGTTTTTTCTTGGTGGGTTTTTGAGGATGTTTTAATACAAGTCATGGATAAGCATTTTCAATTGATGACTTTGTAAATTGTTGCTCTTTTTGTCCCTGATTTGGGCTTGCAAGAAAGCATACAAAAACCATATTCAATTGATGGCTTATTTGATGCATATCACTATAACAGCTTGAGACTGCAATATCATACAAGTTATGTTGATAAATGCAGTGCCTTATTTGCTACTTAATTCACTGGTGAGGCATTGTAACAAAAACACAAGTAATGATTATAATCACTGTACAAAAGTTGCTATCAGGATTTTTCACCTAAATTCACAAAAGTAAGAGATACATAAAAGAAAAAATAAAAAAATCCACAGTATTTTTAAAATACATATGAAATTGTCAATTTGAATTCTTTATTAATAATGCCCTCTTCTGGTGAAATATCTTTATGGTCTGTGTATTATTATTCTCTTAGTTATAATGAAATTAACCTTTGTTCCTTGAAGTAAACCTTATACTTATAGCCTGTGTTTTATATAATTCTCTTACTTACGATAAACTAACCTTCGCTCCTTGAACTAAATTTTATAGGGGCGGAGTACTTATGCTGAAGTGGCAGCTGCAATAGGGAAAAAAGAAGTCATTTGTTTTGTTCGCCATTACAGCATTGACTCTCCCAGAGCAAGTAATCAAGAAACAGGTAGCCAAGTCGGAAATCACCACAGGTACACCGTTATCAAACTGTACACAGCAGAAGAAACTCAACAGAGAAAATTAAACCACTTGGTTGATCCTTTTGATACCTCTG